AGGCAGATTGCTGGGGTCAGTTCAGCCTCCTTTGGCTCCCACCAAAGGCAGGATCCAGTTCAAGGTTGCTGTGGTGACTATTTTCAAAGCTGTGCCTGGAATTCATTTTAGCTACCAAGAGACTGTCTATCACTCCATGGCTACCACCTCCCACAAGAGCTTCATTCTGCTGCTAGACTGAAGCTGTTAGTGAAGTGTTCCCTGCAGACAATAGAGGCCAGTGGTCTGCTGTTTATATCCATTAAAATCTTTTTGGTTTCAGAAGTTCTTAATCTACAAGTATTTTAGCCTTAAGATGTTGGTTGGCACAGGTTTTGCTGGACACAATAAGGTCAGAGTTCTGCAGTCTAGCACGGAGCAAGTTGAAGGTTAAATCCAACTTTGGCTAAGTCTGCTTTTCTTTAAATAACTACAGGATGTCTGTGGGTTTTTTGGGTTTGTTGTTTTTTGTTTGTTTTTGTTGTTGTTGTTCTGGGTGCGTTTTTTTCCTTTTTTTGTGTGTTTTTTTTTGGGGGGGGCTTATGGTGATTTTTTTTTCTTTAAAAAAAACCTCCACAAAACAAACACCAGAATAATAGTGGAGCAAAAAAATCATGCATGCCTGAGTTTTTTTTTTCTTTCATCTTTCCATGAAACCTGCTTGTTGCCAATACACTGGGGAATTCCTGTTTGGTACGTGGGATAAATCCTGGTAAAACTTTGCCCGGAAGTGTTTGTTGCAGCAGTGGCATAATGAGGTAGCTACTGGTAAAATTTTAAGCCTAAAGGTTAGGCCAGCCCAGGGCTAGGCAGACTAACACTGAATTCCTGCAAGTATTCAAGATTTTCATTCCTGACTTAGTTGTCTGTATCCTGTTTTCCTTCTTCCTTTGGCATTGATCCCTATTTATTTTTTTTTCTCCTCTTTTCCTCATCCTTGTCCCCAAGTGTTCCTCAGTTTTATAGATTGAGTTTCCCTTGGCATGCCAAAAATCTGCTGATGAATACCACTTGTTTGAAAACAGTGTGCAAGATTGCTTTCTCTGCAAGTGTTTTATATGAAATCCAAGGAGCAAGTATTTAGAACTTGCTCATGGCTTCAAGCTTAAGTTTTTAGTTGTGTCCATACAATATTTGCTGTATACATCAGAAATACACAGAGAATGGCATTAAAAATTGTCTGCCTTTGGAATGTTGCTTACTGGTTTGGATATATCCAGAGGAAAAATACCTAAAGGACAGTTTTAAAAAAATAAGTAACAGTTTTTTGTAAAGGTGAATGTTATTAATTAAAACAAATGTTCACAAGAAGTTAGATGATGTCCACCATCCAAGTCTTCAGTTTGGTAGTGGATGTTTTGCTAGAGCAGAAGCAGAAAAGAGCATTATTGGGTCTCTGCTGCAGAGTAGATGACTGGTAATTTTGCCTTCAGTCTCTTCCTCTGTAGGTCTTGCAGAGGAACTTTTATAGCTTGCCCATCACGAATTGCTGTGTTAGTGCTAGAGATGTCCTCTGCTGGTGATGTCCTCTCCTGGCCTGCCCTGCATTTCACACACTTTCAAATTCTTTATAGCTGGACATCAGCGTGGTTGTGCAACAGTTTCTTTTGCAACTGTGCCTGAATGTCTAGAAGCAGCATAATGTAGTAGGGAAGGGAAGGAAGATCACAGAGCTGTAGTAAAGGTGCATTTGAGTATATTTCAGAAGTAGAAAAATGTAGAAGCACCTTTCTTTTAGTATGAGAGAGATTTGGTGCCTTTGTTTACAAGTTTAAGTTGATGTACTGTAGCTGGACACAAAAGGCTTCATTTTTCAGTTTACTGGATGTTGTTTTGTTATGGTATTTTTTCTTCCCCTGACATGCTTAATCTTTTGTAAAACCCCTTTTGTGTATTTGTTCAGGCAATTAATGTAGAAATGAAGGTTTCTTAAGTCAGGATATGCAAGGAAGATTTGAAGTAACACAGTGATTATATAATTAATTCTCAGTTGTAAATCCATTTTGATGGAGTTAATTCTTTCCCAGAGGCTGAACACTAGTTTTGGTCCACCCGCAGTGCTGTGATCAGCTAAGAAGTGAAGAAGGAAAAGCCTTGAAGGAATGGAAGTTTCATGAACAGTTTTCAGAAAAAAAAAATAAATAATTCCAGAAACAGGCAGGATAATTTATTTTTAATTCAGGCAAAAGCTGCTGAGCTGTGATTTTGAACCGTGGGTATCCAAATCCTGTTTCCAAGCAGTATAATATGTTAAGTCCAAAGGAAATCAGAAAGGACTAATACCTGAGGAGGACAGAGAAAAATAAACTGGGTGGTGAGACCTTGCACATATGGGAAAGTGTGTTTAGTGGAAGATGCATTCAGGATCATTTTTTTGCATCTTCCACAAACGTGGTAGTGTTCCCACATAGCCTTCTGTGTGACAGAATCAATAGGTCAATATGGAGCAGTGACTGGCAGCCTGATGGACTGGGAACTTTCTTAGTGCTTCCAACAGGGTTTTGTGAGGGCCTGACTTCAGAAAGCATAAACAGCACTTCAAAACCTAAATATTTTGGAAAATCTCATTTTTGTACTTCATTTTGTACTCATTATTGTACTTCATTTGTCTGCATCTCTCTTGCTTCACCAGTGACCTAATCATCCTGTGGATGTGTTTAGACTGCAGGTTTCTGGAACAGAACAATAATAACAATGAAAGCACGTTGACAAATGTCCAGGATTCTCACAGGGTTCTGCACACACATGTTGCAGTGGATGCTCCAAGGACACTCACCAGCCCCTAATAACTGATTGCATTTCAAGGCTTTCTAATCCCAGTCTGTCTCTGCCTTTTCCTTGCTTGGACGTATTTTGTATCATAAATTGAAAACCCCAATGTCTCTAGGGGTGATTTTTAGCACGCAAGCTAGGTAAGAACAGGCATGCAATTATCTTTATATCCTAGGAACTGGTAGTTTCTGGCTGATTTTCTTAGTTTGCTTGGTGGCTGCAGCAGAAGTTATGTTGTATTGGTTAAACTGCATTATCACCACATCTCTGAGCTCAATCAGAGACGTGTAAATGAAGTCAGCATGATGCAGATAGAGCTGACAGATGATCTTCCTTGCAGCTCTGGGTAGCAAGAGTAGGCTTGCCCTGTGTCTAAAGTGGTTTCTTTACCCCTCTGAATTTGGACAGAGTGAAATTCCCACTGGCTGGCTGTCCATGAACTGCACCCCATCTTCTACTTCTACATTTGGTGTAAAAAAAAGCCAATTTTGACAAAGGGATCATTGTGCCATTCCTAGTGAGTGAATAGTTAAATATAATCTTAATATGTCATTTACATTTGAGCTAACAAGGTTATAACTGGAGTTGTGTGAAACTGACTTTTTGGTGCTATTTTCACATAAACTGACTATTTATTTATTTATTTTGTTCTGGGGTTATTTCACACCCCAAGGGTTTAATTTTTGTTGGTTGTTTTATTAATGTAAAAATACTCATTTTCACACCCAAATGTGTGATTATTTAAAATGCTGCTTCTATTCATTGTGCACTCACTTGCAACCTAAAGGCAAATATTCAAATGTGTGGAGCTTGAGAACTCCATGGTGGCTTTGACCAGCTTTTTAAACTCAAAAATTACTGTGGAAAGAAATGGGCAGTAAGTAATTCAAAGGGTTGCAAGGGCTGTACTCTCATTGCTGCCTCTCAGCATCCAAGTAAGTAATTCAAAGGGTTGCAAGGGCTGTACAGAGCCCTCAGCCTCATTGCTGCCTCTCAGCATCCAGGGATGGTTTGGATGTTATTCCAGCTCATGGTGATGAAGTTCAGCGTCCTCTCTGATGCACACAAGCCCTCTTGCAACACAATAGTGCCAAAAGGCTGTAACAACGAGCCTTGACCTCTCTGGCCCGGTGTGACTTGAAGTAGCCTCTGACCCTCTGTTCTCTTCTTAATGCAGAGTCAGAATTGCAGCAGTGTTGATCCAAATGTCTCTGCCCCTTCCTTACTCCCACCCACCCTTTCCTCTGCCTTAACTGGTGAGGACCTTGAAGAAGATAGATGGATCTTGCATTTTACCAACATTTTCCTTCTCTGGGCACCAACTGGTTAAAACACAACTTAAAATGTCGTCTTTTTTTTTTTTTTCCTAAATGGGGCTGATTTTAGAGAGTCTAAATGTGATGTAAAATCAGTGTCCAGGGCTCTGCATTTTGTAATAAGTGAATGTTTTGCTGATTTCTTGCTAGAATATCTGCAACCACACCAATTTGCATGCCTGTATGTGTGTTAGATTGCTGGCAAAGAAATGCTGAATACTGATAATTGTATACTGATTTCCAAGGCTGATTTAAGTCATTTTGATTTTTAATTCATTCTGTGCTTCCTTTTTATTTCTGCACATGTGTAGTAATGTCCTGTAATGTTGTTGCCTAAAATAAGCAGTAAGAAAAGAAGTTGTGAGATGGCTGCTGTAAAAGGAAAATGACATTTTTTCCCCTTGATTCTTCCCCTCCCCAGTAAAAGAATAGGTCTCTGTATACAGAATTGTAAAATAAATGTTTTATTCACTATCTTGCTGCTAATTTATATACAGAAAACAATATGGTTGTTGGGAGCCTACAAAGCTCAGAAAAGTGATATTCAGAAGTTCTGCACAAGAATATTCTTGTTCTTTAGAAGCACTGAGCACCCAGCACCCCCCAACAGGTCAGCTGGATTCAGGGGTGCTTAGCATTTCTTCTGGTTTGGCTTGCAGCTGAGTTCTTCAGTGAAAGCCTGGGTTGAGATCCTGAAGTCCATTTGTGTTAGAAAATGTAAAAAACCTTTGCCCGTGTGCTGAAGAAGAAAATAGAGGGGACTTGTCTCTTCATGTTAATTGTACATGATAAACCCATGGTGTGTGTTTCCTCCTTCCTTCAGTGCTGTACTTGAGTTGATGGATGCATCAGCAGTACTGGGAATCTTACTTCATGTGAACATGTTAACAAAAACTAAATGTATAAAAAGGTATTTTCCTCTTTTTTTCTTAGGAATCTGAGAAAAAGGGGTTAATTGACAGAATCCACATGGTCCAAGAGATCATCATAGCTGTTCAAAGCATCCTAGAAGAAATAGCATCATTTGGAGAGAGGATAAAAAAGTAAGTGATATTTTTTTCTTGCTTATCCATGATTGGCAATGAAGGAGAAGCAGGATTAAAGTGGAGTCAATATCTTGCTCTAAAAATGACTGCAAGCTGCAGGAGGAGAACCTGGCCAGTCCCACCTCTCCTTCTTCCCTTTGGGGTTTTTTACTCCAAAAACCTTTCCAAAGCATAGAGACAAGAATAAGTTATGTGGTCTACTGATGTAGCTCTCATATTTGCCCCTATTTTTGGTCTTGTCTGTTTCTGATGGGGTAGGGAGCCATGATGCCACACAAGGGTAAATATTGCTTGAAGATGTGAATGCAAAAGTATCAGGCATTTCTTTTAATTTCCTCCATGCAAAGTAGGTAGGAATTGATGGTTGATGTTGGCTTTCCCATGCCCTCCTTGCCCTGCCCTGGTTACAGGGGTTACCAGTCACTTATTTCCTTGCCCAACACATTGATCTTCTTCTCTCGTTACCATTTTGAGCTGTCTGCTTCCTGCTGGTGCCATGAAGAAGCCCAAAGGGGATTTCCTGGGTCTTGTTGTGAGGGGAGGCACATGGGGTATTCCTGACCTTGCAAAAGAAGGAGGTGAAAAGTCTAAAAAGAAAATCCCACACACAAATTTATATCACCCAGTCTTTACTGGAGCTTGATTGACCCACATTGTTTTCTGTTTTGAAGACAGTGATGGCTTGTGATTGAGCCACACTTTAATGAGGAGCTGGGTTCAAGCTAAAAATACAGCAAACACATGTGCTGTGGTTCCATGCTGGACACCCCAGCTGGGGTGGAAGTGGCCCAAAGATATATTCCAGTCTATGAAGAGGGCCCTGTTCTGTCCAGCTGCATGGCAGGAAGACTCAGAGTGCTTAAGCACTATTAATTCTTGTATTCATTTTGGTAACAATGGTCTTAAAGAACACGTTGGGTATTAATGTGGATGCCCAGTGTAATTTCAGAAGAATTCCATTGTAACTCAACAGTGATGTACCATTAAAAAATTGCCACCAAAGTTTTTCTGTAAGTGACAGACTGAATTGTGCTACAATTTCCATCTGTCACTCTAGTTATACAATCATAAGGAGTTTTAATAGTTTAACTGAACTGAGCTGTTTTGCTTTTTTTTTCAACTTAAGCTATGTTGATTGATGATGATGGGTCCTCTCCCATCTATTTTTACTTAATATTTCATACATGTGTTCAGGCTTAAAAGTAATTTTTTTTAGCATCTTATTAATTTTATCTGTCAAGGGAAGTTCATCTTATTTTTTAGCCTGATAAGCAGTCCACATTCCTTCTCTGTTCTTCCTTCTTCCCATCATCATGATGTGTTGAAGTTAGCAGGCAGGATGTATGAAGCAGAATTTTCCAGATCTGCAAATCCACCTATGATGCATGTCATTTAGGTGCCTCAGTGTTTGGTGCATGTTGTGGGGATGGATCTTACAAGGGCACAGGAGTAAATATTAACTTCAAAAACATGGCAGCAATAGCTTGAGTCCATTGTAGGCTTACAGATGAGTGGCCTGAGTGAAAAGAAGACCAGTTTTGTGCCACAAAGCTGCAAAAGTCTTAGTAACTGTAGTAACTAAGCCTCTTGAGAACGCTCCCCCTGGGAGAAGTCTGAGGCAGGTTGGAGGTGTGCAGAAGCTTGGGCTGTAGCTTCCTCAAAACAATTTCCTAAACACAATGTATTAAGGAATTGTTGAAAACAAAAGGAAATAGAAGCAAGTGTGTAACTAATGAGAGATTTATATATATTATATTATTCTGTAATCATAGTATGCAGGGAAATTAACTGCTCTTTTAAGGGTTAGCATCAATCCATTATTAATGAATCCATTCCAAGTTACTCTTGAGGTTGAGCCTGGCTACCTGCCATATTTGAGTCATGCACAGACACACATCCCATGCCATCTCTAGTGTGTCCTACTGAGCCAGCTCAGGTGGCTTGCACCTGGGGTATGGTCTCATCTCCAGGTCAGATAATCTGCACATGAATAATGGAGAGCTGACCAGTGAGCAGAGATGTTTAACAAGTGTGGTGTGTATAAGAAGACAAAAACAACTCACTGTATTCCTGACAACTTCACTGGGCATTCCTAGTGACTACAGAGCTCTGGGGGTGATTGCCAGGGACCTGGGGAGTGATCTCCTTGATCCTACCAGCAAGGGGAAAGGGTGTGAGGACCATTTTGTGATTGTATTATTCCTATCATGATATCTACCTCTCAGATACCTACTTTAAACCATTATAGCATCCAGATGTAGGAATTTGCTTATCCACCTTCCGAAGTGTCTGCAATTTACAAGTGCGTTTGCACCTGGTGTTGTAAAGAGATCATTAAATTATTATTGGGTAGCAGAATACAAGCAGTGTCCAAGAGCAGAAATGTTGAGAAGGATTGTTGTTTTTCTTTACAGCACATTCAACTGGACGGTGCCTTTCCTCTCTGTCTTGGCCTGCTTGGTTCTGGCAGTAGCAACAGTAGTTTTGTATTTTATACCACTGAGGTACATTGTTTTAATCTGGGGTAAGTACTCTACCACGTCTCATTTGTATGTAATAAATACCAATAGATATCTACAGAACAAAATCAAACAAGTTTTACTTGACCTGTTACACAGATAATCAAGTCTTCTTGCTTAGAGAGTAATAAATGTGCTATGAACTTTTTCAAATTGCCATCTTCCCCCCCTGGGTGATTGGATGATCTGCTTCTCTTGGGGTCTTTGTAAGTTTCCAACAGCACCAACTAAGAGTATTTATTCTAGATAAGCTACTTCCAATATTATTCTTCAGGAGATTAATTAGGTTCCTGGTTCTGGAACCCATTCATTGAGAAATTGTAGGGAGTGGATAAGATGTGTTTGAAAAGCTGGACCACAGTGGCCTGAACCTCAGGAGCCTTTTGAGTCTTAATTCCCCTGCAACTGGGAGAAGCTGTATGTCTGGTGCCCCATGGTCCAGTGGGAGGCACTGAGCATGTCTTAGCATCATGGTCAGAAAGTATTTGTAGGAAAGTGCATCATGAAGTAAAAGAGGAGATTTTAGGAATGAAAACTTTCCTGGTGGTGGTATGAAGAAGAGTAAGATGGTCTTTCACAAAAGGAGATGGCATTTCATCTGCTGAAGCCTTTCTTAATCTCAAAATGGCCTTCTTTATTATTTAGGGTGATAGCTTTTATCTCAGCCTTCAGGTACAATGGCTGAGAACGTGGTGCAGGTAGTCCTCACTGACCCACAGAAGCTCAGCCTCAGTGTGGCTCTGGGTTGTAGGAACCTCCTGTCACCCTTCCAAGGCTGAGCTGTGTCTTGGCTCTCCTGGATGTGGAAAAGGGAGCAAATGAGAAGGTGGCAGTACAAAAAAGCCAGTCTTGGGCAAAAAATGAATAAAGGATTAAATCAAACAAAAGAAAGGGCAAAAGGGAAGGAGAGAAATTGCTGGGAGTAAAAACTTCAGTAACAAAATATTGCTGTTCTTGTATGGAAGACAACATGGTGAGTACATGAAAACCATACATCCGCTCAACATCATCTAGACTGACAGGGCCTTCAAATATGATACATGTTAAACAACTACCCTGTGGCAAGGCCTCAGCAGACCTTATGGTATTTTCTGTTTTTTGAAAATCAGGAACACAGAAAATTGTGTTGGCGTTTTGCTACAAGTATATGGCTTAAAAGCTGAATCTCAGATGTGAAGCAGGTACATTTCAGAGACAGAAGGCTGGATCAGCCGTCGCATTTGAAATCACTTTCAGGGAAAGTATGATGAGATTTTGGACAGGGGCATGATGGAATTGAATTCTGTATTATGATCCTCAGAGGCAACCACCATTTTGGGTTTTTTGCTGTTCTTTAAAATGGGTTAGCTGATTTTCTTTGTCTAATGATGCTTTGCTCTTCCACAACACCTTTACATAGCCACACTACTGGTTGCTATTTGTCAGTGGGGAGGTGGTGACAGCAGGGTGTTACACGGCTGCATTGGCACAAAGGTTGAGCTGGGAAGGGTGTTCAGGTCTCTCACTTTCTCATCCTGCTCCATGCAATAGAGAAGACCCTGGTTGAGGGCTGCTCATCGCTCCCTTTCTTCAAAGGGAGGAGAGGAGAATACCTCCTGAACTCCTCAATGATAAGACCATTATACTCCCATGGATCTTCTCTTCAGACTAGGGACCGCTTCTGACAGCTGAAGCGTAACTACGTCCACGGAGATGAGGAGCATTGTTGCTGCAGTTAATAAACCAAATTATTCACCCTAAGATCAAAGTAAAGTAAACTCTGTGATAAGTTTTCACAGTTTGCCACAGCATCATAATATTGCCAACTTGTCAAATCTGGCTCTGCAAAGAGAGGATAAGCTATGAGATGTGATGGGGAAGTGAAGCTTTCATTTTCAGAAGAAATTAAAGGAAAAATGCCTTTATCCTGCACAATTCTTTTCAGAGCTCCCTGGGAATGAGGAGAGGGAATGTCTTTGGTCACGTAGGATAGCAAATTTAACAACAGTCTCAGCTGCAAATTTGTGTATTCTCCCCATAATAACTCCCAGAATGAATGCATGCTACAATTTTCTTTTTTTGCCATGTTGTTGATGACAGATGATCCCCAAAGTAGAGAAATACCTTTGTAAATAATGCCCTCTACTTCCTTCAGGAGGCACTTGTGAATGATTCCCCATGACAGGGAACATGTGTGTGGCTTTAAGTCTGAGGCACTGTTTTCACACTAATTTTTACTTGTGAATTCCTCTTCCCTTTTCACCTTGCCTGAACAATTTGGGAGGGAGGGAATAGAAAGGGGTTGCATTATTTTCTTTGCTTTTTTTTCTTCCTAGGCATAAATAAATTTACTAAGAGGCTTAGAAATCCCTATGCCATCGACAATAATGAACTACTAGATTTCCTCTCCAGGGTACCATCTGATGTTCAAAAGGTAAGAAAGGAACAGCCATGGCCAACAGAGGCAACAGGCAGCCCTGAAAGTGGCAGGATGCTCTGCTTGGGGAACAGGATGTCAGTATACTTTTGGATAACAGGAATAAATAAGGAACTGGGAAAATCCACAAAAGGAGGAGGGGGAGGGTATTAGAAAAGAGGGGAGCCAAAATCCTTTGTCAGAAGGATAAAATGATTGCAGAAAAATTATCCTGAAAAGACCTACTTAAAAACCATCTGAGAAATCACCCAGCATGGTTACCAAGCTATGGTTTCTGTCACCTTTCTGCTCCGGTATTTGTACAGAGAGAAGAGTAAAATGGTCTTTTGATAGAGATAACCATCCAAAAGGATTTGCTGAATTTTCCCTTTTCTCAAGATGGAGAGGAAGAGGCATTATTTCCTTGATTTTGTGCTTGCTGTGGGTTGTTTTTTTTCACATCGGCTGTCCCTCAGAATTTTTCCTCACCACCCACCTTGAGCTCCAGGCCTCCCTTGGACAATGCTCTGCTTGTCTTTTTCTTTAAAGAAAGCCTTGAGCTGTGTATAAAATACTCTGTGGTTGATCAGTTCAATCTCCTACCATTATGGAATTATAACTTTAAATCTAACCAGAACCTATCCTCCCCCCAGTTTCAGTCAAGTCTCGTCTCTTCTCCTATTTCTTTTGAACAACACCACTGTCTCCAGTAATCTCCCCTATCTTCCTGGAAATTATTTGAACAATAAGTCCTTTAGAATGTCAAGATCTGTTTATTTCTTTTGGAGGAAGGAAAATAGTCTTGCTGGATAATGAAGCCAAACAATACAAGAAAGGATTCTTTCTTTTGTTTTAAGCAACTGGGATCTGTGTCCTTGGGCCCTGATCCTGGTGCTCTGGATCCCACTGACCTGGTCCCTTCCTGTGTGAATTGTGGTACGTTCACAGTGAGGTGCTGCTCACTGTGAATAAGGGGATCACAATCTTGCCTGTAGTGATTTTACTCTGCTGGAGACAGAAAAATAATTGCCCACATGCAGTGCTGAGGCATCTGGTAGAAACAAGGTTGGAAAAGGCTTCTGGTGACATTTATCTCAAGAGGCCACCAGATTGTTTGGTGGCAGCACTAATAACTTGAGAGAAATGTCGCTGTAGATTGGTGGGAGGGAAGAAGCTAAATAGAAAAGATCATAGACACATTAAGCTTCAGTGTATTTTTATTTTTTGTCATTGCTCTTGTAGAGCACGCTGGATTAGCAGTGATGGTTTGCATGTGCCCCCTTGTTGTTTATGTTTAAAGATAAGCTGATTTTCTGTTTATGCTTTATTTAACATTTGCATTTATAACATTTCCTTGAGTGGTTTCTATCATTTTGGGATCCTTTGAGCAGTCTGAGGAAAATGATAACCATTTTCTATGGGAGGAATGATAAAAGTTCCTAGGATGGGACAAGCCTCAGAGTTTTCCATTAGTTCTAAAAATAGTGAGCCTGTGTGACAGCCACATGCTGTAGTAGAAGTCATCCATGGCAGCTCCAAAGCACCCCTCTGTCTGCTTCATTTTACGTGCTATCAGTGCATCACCCATTCGCTGTGGTAGAGCAACGAGTTAGAAATTACCTCTGTCTGTACATTAGCCATTTACAACCCACATGTCTTGGACAAAAGACAGAGGAGGAGTGAAAAAGATGACACGTTCAGCAAAAGTTTCCTGTGATTTCAATGAGAGTACTTTTCTGCAGCATGACAGACAATTTGGAGATTGCACAGTCTCTGTCAGTTTATCGCACATGTTTTATCCATTATATTGTATATGAAATTACTTTGAAAGGTAGTGGCAGCTTTGCCCAGCTTCTATTTGGGAAAATATTTTCCTTTTTTGAAATTATTAAATATGTCAGAGTCCCAAGGTGTGTGTACGGTTTCGGTAACTGTCCTCTTACTGTGTTTTGGGATCCACTGGAATTGAAACTCGGGAGAGAAGTTTATTAAACTCACATGTGAATGCCAAAAAGATAAGAAAAACAACTCCCAAACCAAAACAAACCCAAAAGATCTAGCCTGCATTGCTGAAATCAGGTAGAACCCCATGTATCTCATTAGAAAAATCTGCTTTTAATATTTTCATTTCAAGAAATGATGCATGGCTTCTCAAATCCTTCCTGCAATTAATCCCCCATGTTCCTGTGTTTAGAAAATGATTCATTACTTTTGAACCTTCCTTAGTTTCCCTTGGTTTGTCCTCGGGGAGCCATTAACACACACTGTAGTGAGCTAGAGTTACCTAACTGCGAGCGTCATGTCTGCTTGTTTTTACAGGTGCAGCAGGCAGAATTGAAACCATCCAGCAGCTCCAGCCCCATCAGGAGGAAGCGGAGTGTGCTGTAGGATGCAGCATCTCCCACCATACCCCCCACATGGCCACATGAGCTTCCCCCCCCTTGTCCCCTGCTTCTTGCTTCAGAATAATCCCTACCACCGACTTGGGTTGGTTGGTTCTTTGAAGGTGTGTTTTTTTGATAAACACCCATCTTGGGTTGTCTTTTTTGGGTTGTCTTTTCTTCAAGGAGCTGTATCCCAAAAAAGAGCAAGGTGGAATGTATCAACTAGTTTGTGAGGTATGAAGGAGAATAGGAGAGGATGCTGCAACAGCACCTTTTTTGAATTTCTTCTTCTTTTTCCCCACATTGGATTGCAGAGGCAAGGCTGGATGTGGCAGCACTCCCTGTTTCATGTAGGAAGAGATAATTCCTCTTAGTGTAGCGGATCAGCTGAGCTGATGTGAGGAGATACTCTGAACCAGTTTTCAACATATCCAACAGATTTACATTAAGATATGAAAGCTATTCTTTTCTGAGTTAAATCACTGTGCCTAGAAAGGTTTAAGCTCTGAATTAATGAGGCTTTGATACCCATCTTCTGTTCAAGCAGTGTACATTTTATAAAGTTTTTTATCATAATTAGCAGAAAGAGCTAGGAGCTCCAACAGGATCTCAATATTTCATCCAGCACTTGTGGGGGTTTATTTTTCCTCTTTTTTTTTTTTTTTTCTTTTTCTTCTTTCCCTTTTTTCTTTTTCTTTTTCTTTTTTTTTTTTTTAAGCCCACCCTGTGATTAACTCTTTGGATACTGGAATCATTGGAGATCCATTGCTGGCAATGGATGCATGAGAACCTACTGCCATGAAAGGATGAAGAGACTGTAGAAATGCCAAACTCACTGACCTGAAAAGACTCTCTTGACTTGCCTTTTATAATTCCATCTCATCAGGTATTTTCAGCATAGCTGTTGTTTTTCTGTCTAAATCCAGAGGGGTCAACACTACAGATCCAAGAGAAAAAACACTTCATGGCCTTAAAGAAACAAGTGCTTGTGCAGAAAGAAAGCATGGTGTCCAGAGACATGGATGTGTAATAGTTTGCAGACTTTGGTCCACCACTGATGTCTCACGGGAGTCTTCCCTGGTGGTTCACAAGAAGAGGATCAGAAAATGAAGTCATATGGAAATTGAGCAATGAAGAGACAGAAGGAAGGACCCCATTTTCTATCCTGAAGAAAATATGATTTCTTGCTTGCTTACCAATCTTTTAGCTATTGTGCTTTTGCGTTATATAAATCAGATAACCAGCATTAGCCATGTTGCTTGACTGAGGAAACTGAAACACAGAATTGTATGTAAACCTGCTCAATTTTGGTGAGAGTGTAGCCCTCTGTCCTTCAGGTGCTGTTGGATGTTGTGGCAACAACTTGCCACCACAACGAGTCATTGGTAGTATGGAGTTGCTTCTTGTGATTCCCAGGCAGGGGTTATCACCAGCATTCCCAGGGGAGGTTGACAGTACAAAGAAATAGAGAATCCTGAGAGACAAATATATTTTTAACAAAAGACAACTTTGGAAGTAATCTAATTCAAGGGAAAACAGGTAAAACCTGGCTTATGGATCAGTGAACCAAATGGAGTCACTCCATGTGGTTTGGTAATGCAATCCTGTGAGCCTGTTGCATGAATGTGAAGAAGGAAAACTAACCTCAGGATATCTTTAGCTGGATTTTTAGCCAGATTCAGTGATTTTTCAAGAAGTTTGTTTTTCAAAGTAACAAGCTCCACTATGCCTTTGAATAAGGAGAGGCATATTTTCATAGACTTGACTGGATAAAGAAGGTATTTTGCTTGTGCAAAGCTGTGTGTAGCTTTGGCAGGTAGAAGGTTATAATTTTTTTAAAAGCCACAAAAATGCCTCTTTTTGTGCATGTGTGCTTGTGTAGCCATCCACATACAGAGCTGTGTATAAAGAAGAGTACATATATAATGTATTTATAGGTGAGTGTGTGTGGAAAAATGGGTGAATATTCAGATTTTGAAACATTGAAAATGTTTATGAAAAATGCCAAAGATTCTAAAGCTTATCATCTCGTGTCTGTTTTTCTTCATTTTGTATCTTTCCTGGCATGTCTCTCTGGCTGAGCCAGATCTCTGCATGATTTGATTTACTTCAAGTTAATGAAGCTGGTTGGAAGGAGCCTTGTAGAAATTATAAAATCTCCAGTAAATCTCCTTCTCGTACATACAATAGATGTCTGCGGACCCCTTTTGTTAAACCAGTTTCTCAATCTTCTGTGTAAACAATGCCTCATTGTCTCGCTTTAAAGTATCATCTGGTTTATCACACTGTACTCTTGTCATTTTGTAAGGACCAAAGTCAGGCATATTTAAGCAGGCATGTGAGATCTGATTGTTGATTAGAGTGAAGACATTTGATTGCGGGAAAAAATTGTTTATTTATTCAGAAGCTGGGACTGATAGTTTCATAATTATTTTTTTAATGTAGATATGTTGTGTTTCAGAATGATTTCTATTAGATTGTTATGCTGGAGAAATAACAAATGAAAGGGTTTGGATGGTCCAGTACCTATGTATGTTGTAATGAGGCCTTTGTTTTGATAAATGCTGTTTGAACTGAAATAAACATGGAGGTTAAGCTGATGTTTTTATCTGGGTAAGGAGATATGTTTCCCATTGTTTGCAAAATGCTTCCTGTGCTATAATTTTTAGCACCTTACTAGGTAAGCAAGTACATCCATCACTTGCCAGTGTAGGGTAACAACTAACACTGGAGGTTACTTGTCATGGAGACTGCACTGCCACAGGAGAGGAGGTAAACCCTTACCCCACCTGCTTCCTACTCTTTTAGCAGGATTCCCTAGCCCCTGACTAAAGGAAAGGAGGATTTTGTGCATTTGCTGCACACCCTAGTAATCAAACTCTTTATTCAGACTTTTAATTTGATTCTTAAAGCAAGATCCATGTCCTGTGTGTTCATTTGCTTGTGTCAATTATCAGTATTTGCGTTGTTAATCTATTAATTGTGTAGCACGGAAGTTGTAAAATAACATTTTAATTTAAGGTAGTCTTTTCAGTGCTACAATATAGAAAACATTTCTATTCTAAAGTCTCTTAAGATCAGAAAGCATCAAGAAATTAAAATCTAACTATGAGTCTGTCGGATGACTGTGGGTTACAAAATCAAGTAGATATCAGAGTATGACTAAATAGATCCACTACTTGTACAGTATGTAAATAACTGGCTTTGACATAGATGTGCAAATGCAGTATGCACTCATTTTTGCCCAAACATAAGCTACTGCTGAAGGTTGGTTTCTTGAATAATCATTAATAGGACGGCGGACTCAGCTCCCCTATAGATCACTGTCAGTAAAACTCAGTCACTGAAATGCACCTTGTGGAAAGCAAGCAAACAACTGAGTAAAGCAAACTCGGTGGAAATGTCAAGAACCTTTTTTTTTTTCTTTGCTTGCAAAGCTCTGATTTTAATCTTCAGCTGTAGCTGTTCCCCCCTCTGCTTCCCTCCAGTCTTCTCCCAAGCCACTCGGTGACGGAGAGCCCAGGATCTTCCCTGTGGACCTGGGACTCCCAGCAGAGACCCCAGCCCTGCAAACCAGCCAGCCCATCTCTGTTTGCATGGGAAGGGAAAGTGCTTGTCCCCTGGAAATCAGACTGGCTGCTGCTCATTCATTGCCTGGGGTAAGAGCTCTAACAATGCCCTGGATTGGGCAGTCCCGCAAGAAAACAGAGACTTGACATTTAATTTCCTGTGCTCTATATGAGGCTACATTTTATTATTTATTTTTATTTTTTTTTTAATTTGGAGGACCTAATCCTGCAGGCATCACTGCAAGTGGAACTGGAGTTATTTTCCCATCAAACCAGTGGGTTTACACCAGGAAGGAATTTGGCAGCTCTAATGTGTTAAGAAAAATCAACAAAATACATTCTAATCAAACTTTAACCTTTAGATTCTCCATCCTTTAAACTAAGACTATTTGGGAAATGTTGGCTTTGACTCTAGAGACTATAGCATGTGTTAGAATGAATCCCGGTCTGATTTAATATTTTTTGTGCATTCTACCTGTAAAGCTACATGTGTTGTGGTCCTGGTGCATCTGCTCCTTCAAATCACATGGAGACATCATAAGAATATCTGCTTTTTAGCATCCTTAAAGTTAGCAACTGGGAAGGAAGCTGAGATACTACAAATTGCCATTAATCTTCTGTATTACAGATGGAGTGTTTCAGTTGTTCTCAAGTTGGGGTAAGCTAAGCCAGGTGAAATTCCATCATTTTGGGACAAAGTATCTGCCTGACAGTTTATCAGTGAGGAAGGACCCTTAGCAGCAACAATAATTATATAGTTCAAGGAGCATGTGAGTCAAATGTATGTTTATGATGAATGTAAATATTCACAAGCATTTAGAGATAATGGAGTGAAAAAAACCTTTCTGAGATTATACCATTTTTAATCTCCTTTTTTTCTGTGATGTTTTGACTTGAAACAGGAGGATTTCAAGAGACTTTACAAGGTCATTTTGTTTTGAATATAAGACGTGCTCTGACATGAATCATGAAACTGAGCACAGGGAAGCAGGAGGTGGCACTCAGGTCTTGGTGTTTGCAACAGCAGCAGCACCTGGGTGGGAATGAGTTCAAGTTCTCAGTGTGGCTTTAACCTGAGGGCTGGTGATTCTTGTTAAATTTTACGTGAAGGAACATTGCCAATCGGTTCCTGCATGTTGGGTTGAACACCTGCAATTTCCCTCTTGGCTGTACCTGATGATATGCCTGTTACAGGGGAAGAAAGTAAGAGCTGGAAGACTTGCTGGTGTAAACTTCATTTGCACTGATGCCTTACTGCAACCATACTTGTAACCTCTTGAGGATTTCCTTGCAGAAGGAAGGTAGGACAGGCTCATAAACTGGGCACATTTGTCTGGGTCTTCCAGGGTCAGCCATGGTCTGATTTGGATGGTCAACAGATTGTGCCTCCTGCCAGTGATTGTTGGCTGCTAGAATGACTCTATTAAGCCTCCTT